CTCAGGCTGTAATATAACCTATAACAAATCGACTTACGAGTAGCAACAGTAAACAAAAAGGGTCAAAGCAACATTTTTGTAAGCCCTACCGTGTTCAGGAGTGCCACTTTTCATTGCGCTAAAATAATCTTTACTGTATAAAATAATCTTTTAAGCAAACCGTGTCTTAATATCATTCTATTCTATGAACGGTTGCTAACAATTTTAAAAAGTAGCGAATAGCGATTCGCTGTTTGAAAAGTAGTCAACTATTTGGCTACTTTTAGGCAAAATGTAGTTCGCTATAACTACAACTACTGTTTTAAAAAAGTAGTCAAAAACTACTGGCTACTTGAAAATTGTAGTTCGCTACAGTAGCGAACTACTACTACTTCGCTACTACCCACCCTTGGTCAATACATAGTCCAGATGCGCGCCAGCGGCGCTCTAGTTTCCTGCGATTTCTTTTTTCTTGACCAATCTCCTCATTGTACCATGGTGATAAAGGACGAAGAGTTATAATTCGTCGTTTTTGTGGAGCATGCTGCTGTAATGTTTCTTTCAACGTATTTTCATATTTATCAATAAGGACTGAAAGATCATAATCGTCATTTAAATCTAGTACTTTTAGATCTTCATTGAAACTACCATGTTTACATTGTTTAATTTTCGATAATAAATTTCAGCTTGTTCTAATGGTGGTTTCTCTAACTGTAATGTACAATGTATGGCAAGATGATCTGATATTACTGGATCATGTATTCTGATACCAGTCACTAATTTATCTCATTCCTTGTTATAATCAAGTCTAAGGTGTGGCCTTTCTTGTGGGTTGGCCCATTGACGTGCTGTTGTAAATTAAGTATCTTGTTGAGTTTAATAGTATCTGAGTCTCCAATGTTATCTATATGAAAATTAAAGTCTCCTGCCATTAATATATTGCCAGGTAATATGATCAACTGTTCCACAAATATGCAGAATTCTTCAAAAAATATTGAGCTGCTTAATTTATTAGTCTTCGATGGGGGTGGTCTATAAATGACAATCATTCTGGTGCAGGTATTACGGCAGTTCAAGGTGACATCAATATATTCAAAAGAAGAGAATTTTCTCTGAGATTGTTTTTTGACTTTAATATATTTCTTCAGTAAGAGACCAACTCCTCCACCTCGTGCATTTTTCCTTGTAACGTGATAAAAGTGATACCCCGTTGGGCAGATTTCCGCAATAGAAAATTCATTATCATCCTCACGTAACCATGTCTCAGTCATTGCTAGAATATCAATATCGTTCTCAGACACATAATCATTAATAAAAAGTTCTTTCCTATTTATTGATCTGGTGTTCAACAGGCAAAAGTTGATAGGCATAAAATAAGTCTTCTGTTCCCTTGTACAATTGACATAAATTAAATTATTAAAATTTACAGATCGAGTTCGTTCCGTATTCTTAGTATCTCTCGAGGGACTATCCTGATTTCTTGGACAGGTTTGAATGTGTATCAGATTATTTCTATTTACACAATGATTTTGATTTGAAATGTTGCTTTTCACTTTTCGAGGACGATTTAGAACACTCAAAGGCATGCTAGTAAACGTTATTGTAGGTGGTGCTAAGGGGGACACGACAGGGGGCCGTAAAGGGGTTATATTGATGTCAACAGAGGTGGTGGGTATACATATGGTCGAAGCATTACATATGGACGAGAAGATAAAAAGTCAGATCTTCAAGCCACCGTGTATATTCTGTTTATTATATAGTCCCAAGCAAAAATTATGAAATTTTACACTCAAAGGCAAATTGGAAAAAGTCACGTGATCGATATCTTCACTAGTGAAGATATGGAAAATATCTCACTGTGTATTTTTCAGTATCTCACTCCCTACTATATAATAAACATACATACACACATACATGGAAAACAGCTCAGCCCACTACATTCATGCGCGGCTGCAACCCCCCATCTTGTCAGTGTTTAGTTCGCGCAGATTCTACTTAAAACGTCGGTCAATTTGCTCGGTCTGCTCGCCTCGGTGTAATATCTTTTGTCATGATATCACGTTGAGATATTAATATTATAGTCAGAGAAACTGAACGACAGATTCAGAAACTTGTTTCATTCAAATTGTATGCAGTAGAGTGAAGAGTTTTCGATGACAGAAATACTCGTAAATAGTTCTATATTTTATACTGTATTTATCGTTTTAAGATGGATAATGTTGGGAAATTTCCATTGAATGTGAATATCAGGCAAAATTTGGCCGTCCCCCTAATCTTGTTCACTCGTACGCGTATGGCAATAAGTGTTTTCATGAAACGGGCCAATTCTAGGAAAATATAGTAGGTTTCGGAAAAACAACACAAACATTTCTGCTCTATGCCCCAAATCAGTTCCAGGTTTTAAATGATCGACTATTTCAGTTAATAAACAGTAGTAATCTTGAATTTTATCATTTTATGACTTCAAGTTAGATACGTGTAAGCAGGCCCGCCGAGAGGGGGGCAGGGGGGGGGAATTGCCCCGGGCCCCAGGTTCTGGGGGCTCCTAGAAATGTTTTGTTGGGCCCGTCATTTTTTTGGGTAAAATATTTCCACGCAAAGGACAAAATATTTGTTTTTTGGGGCAAAGTACCGAAATTTGGTATGAAAAATGGAGGTATGGAAAGCAATTGCAACGTACTCGTCCGGAAAAATTTTTCCCCTAAAAAGTTTTCGACGGGGGGGGGGGGGTTGTTGTGTAAGCGGTAAACGCGGTATAAATCTTTCTTACTGAGTAGTTTATAACCCAACGTATCAAATAGTTGCAACAACATCAGATTGAACTAAAATATAGTTTGACTCTGAATCCAAGTGCCTGGTCACATATTAACCCACGTGAGCGAAATGTGCATGCCTGTGTTAACTCATACAAAATTCAGTTTGTGTTCGTAGGAGAAACGAGCCAGCACGGCTATAGGAGACTATTAGGAGTATATAGGTGAGATCTCAGTCAAGTAGGATAACATTTTCAATATTTAACAATTTTTCGCCGAAGGCGAGGTGATTATCAGGGAATATTCACCGAGACGAAGTCGAGGTGAATATTCCCCGATAATCACCGAGCCTGAGGCGAATAATTGTTCAGTAGTATTTTTACACAAGTTTTTTTGTGTTTCTTTGGACTGAATTTATTTTAATTTCGCTTATTTCTTTAACAGTAATTTCCACAAAACGACTAGCCGCCATTTTGTAAATTTCGGTTTTGTTATATTCACCTGTAGGTGAATACAACAGATTAATACGTCAAATCTGACCAATCAACATGTAGGATTTGTTATGTTCACTTGTGCAAAAATACTAAGAAGGATTTATTCCATGCCCCTGACTGGGATGGACATTTTTAGCTGATTTTGACCTAATATAGTTTTAGGCGGCATAGTTGGAAAATACAAACAAAAAATAAACATTAATATAGACCTAAACCGGACAGTTTGTTTAATTACAAGACCAAAATATATTTCCAAGACGCCATGTAGATGTCGCCCTGCTGAGGCGGGATATTAGGTAGGTGGGAATTAAAGTCAACGACATATGAACACACAAATAATTCATCCCACTCAGGTCACGGCAAACCGGGCTCGTATGAATAGGCCCTGACTTCCATATAGGCGATATTTTATTTGAGTCAGTCTGTGTGATGCAGACATAATGTTTAATTAACACTCGGAATAACATTCACATGCATGTTATGAAGCGCAAAATCTATTTCACGTTTGAATTAGAGGATTACATTTTTTACTGAATTATTTAAATACATAAGATGTGATAATACATGAATATTCATAACTGAAGATAACAACAGAACTGATAAAGAGTATATGTCCAACATTCTATTTATCCTGTGATTATCTCTCATATCTGCATCGTTTTATCCCTTTTTTCGAGGTTTATCCTATTTTCAGCCTCCGTAATTCCGCTTTTCCAGATCCGCGTTTATCATAATCCTGCATCAACTATCAAAATGTCATAATTATATGATTTATAGTGAATGCATTAACCACAGCTACATGCCCCATGCCGCCATGCGTTCGTTATATGATTTGTAAGATTTATGATACTTTAATGCATGCAAATATGATGAATACAGGAATGTCTTGCTTTCGAGCCGACTGACGGATACATACATATTTTTGAAAAGTATTAATAGTTTAAGTTCCTTGTAGTTTTACATGGGGAATAAAATTATATCAGTTTTGGTTTGTGGTGTTCCCACCTTCATCGTTCATGGTTGTTTCTCTTTTGAACACAACAATTATATACTATTGTATGTTATACAGCTACCGCGTAACACAACTCTGCATTAAAATGAGGATATAAAAACATATATGATCATATATAGCTATAGTCAATAAGTCAAATAGCTTCAAATGGTGCGATCTACTACAACTATACTGTCAACTATACATGTGATTTCATGCATTCGCTTGACAACTGACTATTTAAAAAGAGAGGCCGTACAAATCGTACGCGGGAATTTTCTAAATTGAAATGCGGCCGCCGGCTTATATTTCAAAAAACGAAACTGTGATAGGCTGACATTCTAAAGCTTGAAATTTTCTCATAATCAACACAAGCGTCTGCACACATGCCTCTGCATCTACTACAACACATAGTTACATAGTTCCTAGCCCAGTCCTATATGAACTTGGCTATATAACTAAATATTGTAAACCAAGATTTCTTCTCAAGCCTTTTATCGAAGAGAGAGACTTGAGCAAGTGGAGAATTGCAAGTCGTATAAATCCTCATTTCGTCGCACCTTATTTATCAGCAAGAAAGAGGAAAAATATTTTATCGATATTTCAAATTATGGTTTATATACAGGATGTATAAAAAAAAAGGTAATCGAACTTCAGCGCGCTATTGTAGTGAATTACTCTGCCTATATGAACGAGATTTTTTCACATTCGGAAAGATCATGCTTTTAGCTGTTGAATGATATCTTCTTCATGCCAAATGGATAAAAAATGTACATGGAAAGTTTATGTTCGTGTCTCACTCTGCATCGAAGATTCGTTTTGTCTGTTGGCTCCTGATCTTCTGACAGTGTTCATTTGTGTTGGATGATTTCTCCGTAGTGCTCGTCGGTTCTTCATGACGGGAAGCAAGTTGAGGAGTGAATCTCTGTAACACGGTAGCCTCCAGGCATATATGACTGGATTGACTCCAAAATGCATAGCGAAGAAGATACGGAAGTACGTCCAAATATGTAGGAAATAATTGTTTAAAATGCACGAATTGCAGTCGGTAGTTGTGAAGAAAAACACTACTACATATGGAGATGTAAATAAAATCAAAGACAAGCAAACCAAAAACATCGTATTGGCAAAGTTCTTCTCAATTTTCATTTTATTTCTTCGTAGTTTGGTATTGGTTGCGTTCATGGTAAGAACTTGTTTCCTTTGACGTCGTAAACTGGAGTGTGTTAGAGGATAGAGAACAAGGATTGTTGCTATGAGAATAAACGTATTTATAGCATAGATTGGATTCCCTGTATATGTTATTTTGTGAATGTCCTGGCCAAAAAACAACGGAGTAGAGATGGCGAAAGCAAGCAGCCAGGAAATTACCATTGCAATTACAGTATATTTAGTTATAATCAGGACACGGTAACGAAATGGATGAGCAATGGCAGTGTAACGTTCGAAAGATACCAGCATGACCGTATAATAACTGGACTGTGCTGTAGTTGCCACAAGCCAAGGAAGATAGTGTGTTGTTAAGGCTGAAGTAGCGTATCTAGGATTCTGTGAAAACTCGCACTCGATAGCCAGACTGAAGCAAGCACCAAACAAATCAGAGATAGCGAGGTTAGCAAGAAGCAAAGCTGATGGAGTACGAAATCTTTTCAATGGATCTTTATACATTATCCATAACAATGCACAATTTAGAAATATTGCCAAAGAATAGCTGGCTATTGCGACGCGATTCACTACACCGCTATAGTCATCGTTCACTCTTCCTGAGTTATCGTAGTTGAAGCTTTCGTTCTTTGGAATTAATAAGTCTAAAAGTTTCTTACAAATTGAAGTCTCCGCATTTTGAGCATCAAAGCACCCAAGGCGACTCATATGATGGATAAGCTCGCTTTTGTTCCAGTACTCCATTTAGATTTTAGGCTGTGTATTAATAACTGCGCACTTCGTGATATCAACTTCTCGGTCCGACACTACAAAATTCAACTCACCACTTGAAGCTCTTGAATGCGTATTTTGATTTCTCCAAATTGAAATTCCTGTATTTATGTACTTTTCTACACGGCAGCTGATTCCTTGACAGCGTGGTATTTAATGATAATAGGCAGACATGTTTTTAAACCTCTTTTCTTCTTGTTTACTTCAATGAAATTTGAGATAAGTCTAAAACATTCTTATTAGTAGACTGGGCCGTATGCCATTCCGGTATATGGTGGAGAGCTTAGAAATAGACCCTCAACTATAGGCTCAGTTTACAAGTTATTTGAGCTAAAGAATTCTAGAAATATGTCTAGACACATGACGGTGGTGAAAGATTTATTGGTTCAATATGACACTACATACATGAAATATGGAATACATATGTTAATGAAAAAAGTAATTATAATTATTGTGTGTGATTAAAATGTGTAGTGCATTTAGATAACTTGTGACGCAGTTACATTATTGATTTTTGTTCTTTATCACTGCATGTATTGATACATATGACCTAAAATATAATTTAGCATAGACAGACAGAAGTATGGCTTGCTTAAACAAAAGACATATTATACGCCTGCATGTGTCTACAGACCACGGCATCGTGCCTACAGGTCACAGCATGTACTGCACTAAAGATCAACTTTTATTCATGTATATATACATCATGAAAAGTCACTTATATTAGATCTTATCGTGATAAATTAAGGAAAAGTGCATGGCGTTTTTTCTTAAATAAAGGATTTTAAAAGTTATACATGTGTATCGCCTCCAATCTTCATCTACGCCTACGTGAATTCCTTTCCACGTGTATGGCAAGTCGATGGTAGCAATATATATTCAGTAAGCAAGTTTATTTGTCAATTCAATAAATATTTATTCAATTAAATACATTTTTTATTCAATTCAATAAATATTTATTCAATTCAATACATTTTTTATTCAATTCAATACATTTTTATTCAATTCAATAAACTTTTATTCAATTCAATGAACTTTTATTCAATTCAATAAAATTCAATTCAATAAACTTTTATTCAATTCAATAAACTTTCGTTCAATTCAATAAAATTCAATTCAATAAACTTTAATTCAATTCAATAAACTTTAATTCAATTCAATAAACTTTTATTCAATTCAATAAACTTTTATTCAATTCAATAAACTTTTATTCAATTCAATAAACTTTTATTCAATTCAATAAACTTTTATTCAATTCAATAAAATTCAATTCAATAAACTTTAATTCAATTCAATAAACTTTTATTCAATTCAATAAACTTTTATTCAATTCAATAAACTTTTATTCAATTCAATAAACTTTTAATCAATTCAATAAACTTTTATTCAATTCAATAAACTTTTATTCAATTCAATAAAATTCAATTCAATAAACTTTAATTCAATTCAATAAACTTTTATTCAATTCAATAAACTTTAATTCAATTCAATAAACTTTTATTCAATTCAATAAACTTTTATTCAATTCAATAAACTTTAATTCAATTCAATAAACTTTTATTCAATTCAATAAACTTTTATTCAATTCAATAAACTTTAATTCAATTCAATAAACTTTTATTCAATTCAATAAACTTTTATTCAATTCAATAAACTTTTATTCAATTCAATAAACTTTTATTCAATTCAATAAACTTTAATTCAATTCAATAAACTTTTATTCAATTCAATAAACTTTTATTCAATTCAATAAACTTTTATTCAATTCAGTAAACTTTTACTCAATTCAATAAACTTTTATTCAATTCAATCAACTTTTATTCAATTCAATGAACTTTTATTCAATCCAGTAAACTTTTATTCAATTCAATAAACTTTTATTCAATTCAATGAACTTTTATTCAATTCAATAAACTTTTATTCAATTCAATAAACTTTTATTCAATTCAATAAACTTTTATTCAATTCAATAAACTTTTATTCAATTCAACAAACTTTTATTCAATTCAATGAACTTTTATTCAATTCAATAAACTTTTATTCAATTCAATAAACTTTTATTCAATTCAATAAACTTTTATTCAATTCAATAAACTTTTATTCAATTCAATAAACTTTTGTTCAATTCAATAAACTTTTAATTTATTCAATTCAATTATCATAAATAATCTCACATGTGAGATTATCACTTTTATCAGTGCTCGAAATCTCTATAAAGCACTATACTTTATATAATAAATGTTTATTCTAGTATTCTACACGCCTTGAATGTGAAAAATCTTGTGAAAAATCTAGAATCTTCATCGGTGTATTTCGCAATATTTATTGCAAATCTCACATGTGTTTATTATAGTGACCCGGCAGATGAAGACGTTGACGTATTCTCTGGCTTCGACAAAATGTATGGATGATGGTTGGACTATGAAACCTTCGAGTCCTGTTGGAACTGAAACTGGTGAACATTTGGAACCTTTTGAGATCGAAATTAATTCTTCAAGAGCACAGGTGAACGGTGAACCACATTCTTTTCTTAAAAATAATGCCTATAAACATGGAAGCGTGATTCTCCTTTCACTTTCGTGTACAATGTGAGATCTTGAAGTGCAGAAAAATCTTTCAAGTTCACCACACCCCCGAAAATCCACATATATACATGAACTTGTGGCTAACGCTTGTCAACTGGCCTCTATACAGCTCAGTTGGCTAGAGCGCTGCACCGGAATCACACGACCACAGGTTCGCAAACGTTCCCAGTTAGGTTTAAAAAGTATATATATATATATATATATATATATATATATATATATATATATATATATATATATATATATATATATATATATATATATATATATATATATATATATATTATATATATATATATATATATATATA